ACACTTGGACTTCATCTTATATTGAAACTATTAGAAATATGGCCATAAGTATGTTATTTAAGTTTGATAAATATTGAGAGACAGTTCATGAAATTATAAGAGTGGCTGCTGTCTTTGATTCAAGATATAAGCTGAAGTTTTTGCAAATTTCTTTCCTCAATTTTATGGAAAATCAGTTGATTTTGAGATTCAAAGGATTAACAACTTTTATTATGACTTGTTAAATGAATATCAAAGGTTTTTAAGACCTAAGAATATGTATTATGGAGATGGAGTTTCATCTAATATGTCTCACAGGTGAATGATCTTGTCAATCACAATTTTTTTGATGGATATGACTCTTTTTTTAGCAATTCAGATGATTCATTAGCTAAATTTAAGTTAGAACATTACTTGGAAGAGAAAGTTTTGCCTAGAACTTTAGATTTTGATAAATTATCTTGGTGGAAAAGTGGTTGACTTCATTACCTAACTTTACAAAAGATTGCTAGAAATATCTTAGTTGTTCTGATTTCCACAATAGCTTCAAAATTTATTTTCAGCACTGGTGGTATATCGGTGAGTCCTCATCGTGGTAGGCCTCATGCAACTATTTTAGAAGCTCTAATATGTGCGCAAAATTGATTGTTGAAAGATATAGAATGTAATGAATTTAATTGAAAAGAATTAGTGATTTCATTATTTTATTATATTATGTATAACTTTAAATGATATATATATATTTTTTAGGTCTATCTTCAAAAGAAAATGATGCATATTGTGGCATTGTTTTTAATGATTCTGAAATTGAAAAAGAGTTGTAATAGGTATATATTACATACATTAATAAAAGAAATTTTATGTATTAAGTTTAAGTTAAATTATTTAACGCTATTATTATTATTATTATTATGATAAATGTTTTTTTTTATTTGATTTTCAATAGGTTTTTATGAAATATTTATGGGTCTATCAAGTGAAATTCTTAAGAAAACATCATTCAAATTATCATTTGTACTAAACTTTTTTTATAAATTTTATTTGGTGAATTTTTATGATCTATATTAATATTTGCATTAGCGTATGCATTGTATTTTATTTGATATATTTATTGTTAAGTTTTTACTTATTATGAGGAATATTGAAATGTTTATTTAAAAAAAAAATAGGTACGAGATCTTTAAAAAAACAACCAAGCATAGGTTGAAAGGGACAGAAGATGGAGATGGAGAGATTGAAATTTGAACATCCATAAACAGTGTGAAAGATAAGCGAATGATCGATCCAACTCGTGTTATCGCTATTCTTTTTTTTTGCCTTCCCTTTTTCTATTTTAATTTTTTTCAAGGTGTGAAGCTTTTAGATACGGATGCTTGTGTTTTATTTTTTCAAATAACAAAGAGCCAAACCCAAAATCAGCTATAAGTAAAGAAAATAAATCAAAATCCATGATTTAATAATAAAATAATGAATAAAATAAAAAAGAAAGAAATACATTAACTTGGAGCCAGAAAAAAGAGTGGAAGCGATGAAAAACTTGGTAGGATGACCATAGGTCGAAAAGCAAAAGAATAAAGTTTATGATATTGTAAGCTCATGGGTTTTATTTTTTCTGACCTTTTTCTTTTTTTCTTTCTCTAACCTGCTCTTTTTTTTTTTTCTCCTTCTTATATCTCTTTGACCTTTCTGACCTTTATTTTTCTTTTTCTTCTCATTCTTATTTCTCTCTTCTTTAACCTCATGTGTTTTAGTTTTATGATCTGGAAGCTTCTCCTTTCTCCTAATGACAGCTAATGAAACTATGACAAATGGCATAAAATTGAAATGTTTAATAAATAGTGCGATGAATGGTATTAATTGAGAGATTACTTTCATTATATAGTTATAGATTTATAGTCAAAAGGTATACATGTTGGAATGTGAGAGATGTAAATAGTAAAAGCTCCCTAAATAATAAAAAGGTGAGTTTTTTTTTAAATAATAATAAGAAAAATGTTCAATTTAGTTCTAAAAGTTTGAAAGTTTTTTCAAATCAAAACTTGACTTTTTATTTTTAACAAATAAGGACGTAATGTATTCGACATGTAATAATTAATGAATCGAATGTATGAAATCTGACATTTAATTATATTACACATGACGTTAGTATCACATGAAAAATGAATTTTCAGCACTAATGTGAAATAAATTTATTTATTTAAGTAAAAAAATACCTTAAAAAAAATCCTAATAAAATTACACCTTACCCTCAATCCAAAATCCAAACTTCCTCTTGCTTATACCCTTCTCCACTCTCCTTTTTCTGTTTCTATAATTCCTTTTACCCGACCTTCAACCCCTTTTTCATTAATTCTCAATTTTCTCCCATAATAAATACCCCTTGCCTTTAACAATTTTACCTGCAAAAGCAAATAAATTCTTAATTTTTCAAAAGTTTAGTTCTTTTCATTTCTTTGCAAACTCCAAACCAATTGGCTTACCTACAAAAATCCTAGTTTGTTCCTTGATTCTAGGGTGCTTTCTTGCTTGTACACTTCATTTTTTTGTATTTTTGTGCAGTACCCATTTTTGGAAGCTTTCTTGATTGTATTTTTTGTCATTTGGATTTTTAGTTAGGGTTTCAAGTTCAATTGTTTTCTTAATTTAGGTATTCTAACCTTTATTTTCATGAATTTTCTTTGTGAGTTTTTTGTTTTTGAATGTTTTCAATTGATTGGTATTCTTTACTTTTATTAATTTGATGGTTTTTATTTATTTTAATTTAGTTGAATTGTTTTAAAGTTATTAACTTTGAAGATTTTTAAGCAAGCTAGTTAAAATATTTTTTTTCATTTTGTGAATTTTTTTAGTGATTTCTATGTTGTTTTATTGATTTTTTATGTCACTATTCGGGAAGTTCAATGTTTTAGATCGTTCTTGTCTTTTGATTTTGATTCTTTGATATGTGACTTTCAGTTCTTAAATTTCTTCTAGTCTGAAATGTTGAGTATTTTGTTTGGTTAGTGAGAAAATGGTGTAAAAAGCTAAAACTTTTTAATGTCAAACATATTAACTCTTTTTACGAGAATATATGAATTGAATTGCTTTGAATTTTATTGATTGCCTTAATGATGGCTTTAAATTGTTTGCATTTAGGTTTTTTTTTTTTTTTTTTTTGGTTTGCCAAGGTTTGTTTGTTAGGTAAAGATTTTCAGATTTATTTAATTTATTTTTGAAGTTTCTTAAATTTTTTTTATAATAACCATCTTATGTGACATTTTATTTGGTAATAATAATAATCATTTGTCAAAATTAACGGTATCTTTAACACACCAAATTTTATCTATTCAAAATTTTAATGTTACATCTGAGAGTTTTATTTGTTAAAATTGAAAAATAAAATCTTAATCGAAGTAATCTCTCAAATATTGGAGATAAAATTGAGATGATGATAATGACGATGAGAACAGGCAGAGAGCCCTGGCCTAGAAACCCACGTGCAACCAAACCCATGTGAGCAGTTCGTACAACAACTTCGCTCAGACGCTCACCATTCAAGACTCAACATCGATCGTCCGATCATCAGAACCAAGATGCTTGGCAAGATCGAGGACGCAATACTTAGTTAGTAAGAAAGGGTACGTATCCAGTGCTGCAGCTATTCTGTAATTGCCAACATCGTTAACCATATTACTAATCCGATAGATTTTGTTGGCTTAGAGGTGCGGTGGGCCCTTTCTCTCCGCCTTCCTTGCTGTCCTCCTCCTGTTCGGTTTCTTTATTATTAAGCAAACCAATTCCACTCGCAGTCTATAGAAAGTCCCGTCACGCTCTTATCAATTCCACAAAATTTTGTTGTATTATTTTTTTTATCCTTTTTTTTTTTTAAATTTTGTGTGTGTGAATATTGGTGCTAACATTTAATGTTCCTTTCCAACCCACATAAAGTAAAGTCCATTAAAAGGAAAAATTAAACCACTTTTTGTTTTAATTTTTTTTCTCATTTTACTATAAAACTAGAATTAATAAAATAAAAGTTTATGCATAAAATTTTTCAAAGTACTGCTTGTCCAATTTAGTATATCTGAATTAGTAATTAATTGTAATTTAACAAAAATAATATAAATATAAAAAAATTTAATTAATTATCAAAATTTAATTTTAATTATCAAAATTTAATTTTTAACAATCTTAAATATAAAAAATAATATTTAAAATTTTTAATTTGCAATTTACAATAATTTTATGGATTAAACTCATGCCACAAAACTTTGATATATTTTATTCCCATGTTTGCGCTTATATTGTGATATTATAAACTGAAATTTTCAACAATCATAAAATCGAAAACACTGCTTTTCTTGACCTAATGCTTGTTTTCAAATTTTTTAAAAATTACTTTTAAATAAAATTATTTCATTATTTTTTTTAAACTAGTCATTTCCACTTTTAAGCTTATGAGTTTACAATTCAAAAAGTTTTGAAAGTTTTTGAATTTGTAAATCTAAAAAATTTTAAAAGATTTTAGATTTATATATCCGAAAGTTTTTAAAAAATTTTTCTCTTAAATCGTTAAAATTTTTCTCTTAAATCATTAAAATTCATTTATTAATTTATAAATAAATTTATAATTATTTAAAATAAATCGTAATTTTTTTGTAGTATTGCGAAAATTCTTTATAGAATGAGATTTTTTTTTTGCAATTGAATTTTTCAATTTTGTTGGAATCCAAAAAAATTAAATAAATATTTCTTTGTTAAATCATGATGATATTGATTAAATGAGTTTTGTTGATAATTTGAAATCTAAATGTAAGTTTTTTAACTTATTCAATATTAAATTTTAATAAATATTTTTAACTTACTAGATATAACTAGATCGTAAGTTATAAAATTTATTAAATGTATATAGTTAAAAACTTTGAAATTAAGATGAAAAATAATTAAATAATTTTACATAAAATAATTTTAAAAAAGATACGGAAAAAAAGGAAACAGAAGCACCCCAAAGAAAAACGAAAAGGGCAAATTCTTCATTTCCACCTTGTCTGCGCGTGCTTCACGTCATCATAAGCGTGTGAAGAATCAAATTCTTGATTGCATCTCAAGCTCAGCAGAAGCTACCACGTAGTAAAAATTTTCATGAAAAAAAAGAAAAAAAGAAGGAAAAATTGGAGACAAGGAAAATCCCTCACTCATCAATCATTGTGTCCCAAAACAACAAAGCCAACAGCCGGTCCCATCACCATACCCAAAAAAAAAGCAGGATATAATCTCCCACAACTTACAAAACCCAAGCCAGACCAAGCCAATAGAGAAATTAACTCATAGCGGAGAAGGCAAACAAAAAAAAAAAATGAGAAACCCTGCAACAGCAACAGCAACAAGAAACAACAACGGACGCCAGAAGAAGGGGCCATGGACGCCAGAAGAGGATGAGTTATTGGCCACTTGCATCAAGAAGGAAGGTGAAGGACGGTGGCGGACTCTGCCGAAGCGGGCGGGGCTTCTGCGTTGCGGTAAAAGCTGTCGCCTCCGGTGGATGAACTACCTCCGACCCTCCGTGAAACGAGGTCAGATTGCCCCTGACGAGGAAGATCTCATACTTCGCCTTCACCGCCTTCTAGGCAATCGGTAGTTCAACATTTTTCTGCACATTCACTTGTTTATGAATTTCCTTTCTAGGGTTTGTTTCAGGGTTATGGAATATGAGTTCAGTTGGATAACTTTTTCCCTGTTCCTCTGGATATTAGGTAGGGCCGGTTTCCACTCATCATCAAGGGTTTTAGGTTTAGGGTTTCAATATTTCAAGTAGATTTTGTGCAAATCCAGATCATATATGTACTTAAAACCTATATGTGCACGAATTTCTCTTTCCAAAGGCGTTCACTATCTTAATGAATCTCATTAAGAACCAGATCATACATATATATCTTTTATATCTTTCCTATATCAATGGATTATCCTTAATTTTATTTCAATATTGGCATGCAATACATTAAAATAACAAGAGCAGTTTACTTTGATTTTAGATGGAGTACTATATCTTAATCAATTTATTTACTGGGCATGCAGATGGTCACTCATAGCTGGAAGAATCCCAGGGCGTACAGACAATGAGATTAAGAACTACTGGAACACTCACCTGAGTAAGAAGTTGATCAGACAAGGAATAGATCCAAGAACCCACAAGCCTTTAAACCCTCAACACTCAACAGCCCATCTCAAAGCTTCTTCTAATTCCTCCAAGGCAAATCTTGGAGCTTCAGCTGCTACACTTCCTAACCCTAATATTAATCCTGCTTCTTCCAGCGCTCAAATCATGGCTGCTGATAAAGAAAATGAGCATTTCCAGAATCACTATCAAACTTATGACACAGCAATAGCCCATGGATTCACCAGTGATCTGCTTAATTGCGATGCTTCTCGAATAGAAATGAGAAGCAGCAGCAACCAAAACCAAGGAAGCAATGAGGACTGCACTGATGATGCCTTCTCTTCCTTTCTAAATTCATTGATAAATGAAGATGCTTTCACCAACCAGAATCAAATGCAACAGCAGACCAATGGAATTGAGCAAGTTGATGGAACAACTTTCAGCCTAGGCCAAGGCTGGGAATCTCCCATCATGTCTTCTAATTATTTCAACCAAAATGACCCCAAGAGGATTAATGATCATCTCATCTAGCTCTTCTGAAGCGTCAGCTTGCACTATGAAATTACAGCTGCAGATTAGCTTAAAATATATGGTGTTCTCTTCTAGGGTGGGCATGGTTATTATTTTATGTACGTTAATTGTCTGAAATTGTTCCAATTAATTCGTCGTCCAATATATTGTTTTCATTTTGTTGTGTTTGCAGATATATATATATATATATATATATATATATTATATGTACCATTGTAAACAAAGATGTAAGGGGAACAATGTCATTGAGTCCGAATGTATTGTTCCACTGATTATTGATATCCTATGGCAGTGTTTCCATCAATTATCTATAACCATCTTGCATTAGGTTTGATTAATTCACACTGTGTCTGATTTTTTTAAGCTTATCTTTCGAAGTTATTTGGGCTCTTTTACGAAGGCTCTCGGATGAAGTTATATAAACCAAAGTTTCTTAAGAAAAAAATATTTGATGAGATTTTGTATATTCTAACTTTATTCTTTTGAATTTATAAAATTATAAGAAGAATTATATTTTCTCACATGCATTCATATTTTTTATTTGGTTCAATTTTTTTTTAATAAATAAATCTTATTTTATTTATTCCCTTTAATTAAAAACTTAGGATTTGGTTTAATGAATTTGTTTTATTTTTTATACTTGTTAAAATTAAATTAAAATATAATCAAATAATTTTCTACATTTTATAGCACTTTTGTGTTAAATTTATTCTAAAACTGTCTTAATGTTTTTTTTTTTTTTACAACAATTTAAAAAGAACTCTGCTCATACATAATCATGTATGAACATTATTAATTGAAAAGCAAATGAAAACATATATTGCGTAAGGAAATCTCAAGTATCAAAAAATAAAAAGAATATATATAGATTGCATTATTGCGCAACATATCTATATATGCGCCTGGGGATGAATGAGATGAATTATATCTTGGAGAAGAATTTCAGTACATATATAGTCAATGTTCTAGCTAACTACAAGTACAATCCACATGCTATTTTCTTAGCTTCTCACTATCCATAGCTTGGATTATTTTTTACGATGCACATAAGGTTTCAAGTTTTCTTCTTTGAGCACATGTACGTAGTTTTAATAAAAAAAAAAAGTTTTGAAGAATATTTATTGCTAATGAATTGTAGGTCATTAGCAGTGTCGTGGGTGAGTTATTAAGCAAGATTCTGATAAATATCTCAAACTTGGAAAGAACATATATATATATATATATATACACACACACACACACACACACACACTAGCTAGAGATGTTTAATAGATATATAATCTCAATATATATAGTTTTGTAGAATATCTCAATTGACATATGTGAATGGGGTGTTAGAGCCAAACAAAATTGAGTCAAGTAAATATCTCATGATTCTTTAACTTGTGACAACAAATAAACATGATTAGATATGCTTAATTTCAAAACGTATGTGAATTTAATTTCTAGGAGGTCTCTAGAGTTTTGTTTGATTGAATACATCTAAAAAGACAATCCAATGGTTTGAAACTCCAACTTAGGGATTATAATTAAGTTTATTATGAGACATTGAGATTTATAGAATAATTAAGAAAAGGTTGCATCTCTTTTTGTGTGGCCCAAAACTCAATTCTATATGTACCAAAAAAAACTTTTATTTGAATGTCAAGTAAGTCATTTAACTATAAATCAAATGGTTCTAAGTCCCTTAAAATTAAGTTTGGTGTTGTTTTTTTTTTTTTTTTTTTTTTTTTTTTTTTTTCCCTTTGGAGAATTTTTGCTCTTGGTAGATCAATTTATTCTCACAGCAATAGAGCACTGTTTATGAAAGTTATATATGTCATATTTGGTGTTGACTAGTGCAATCTTCGAAGAGAAGTAATTTAGGTAAGTTACTTCTAGGAAGCTTTCTTAAAAATAATAATTTTTCTACTTAAGTGCAAATAGACTTTTAGATACATTATAGCCAAGATACAATGCTTAAATTAAAACACTTCAAGAATTTTTTTAGCACACTTAAACCATGCATGGACCAAAAAAATGAGAGTATGATTCTTGAGAAATTTGTTTTAAAAGTGTGTTAAAATTAACGCTAATGGAACTATTTGTTTTAAAAGTGTGTTAAAATTAACGTTAATGGAACTATTTATAAGTCTCAATTGCTACTAGAAACATCTCTTCATGAACACATATGCCTTAGATGAAGGACCATCACTTTGAAATGAAACATCATGTCTAACGAACAAGATTTTTTGAAGTTTTAGCAAAGAGTTTTAGAATGCTTGAGTCATGACATTCGAATGCTATAAATAAATTTTCACATAGAATATGAAATCCTTTAAGGCATTCCATTGTCAATCTCATTTGGCATTCAGACGCACAAAACAAGTTTTCAGACAGATTACTTTTAAGCTAGTCAGTCAAATTTCTTTCAAATGGTATTTGAATCCCTCTGCTTATTTTTCATTTCAAAAGCTATTTATCAACTTGCAAAGATCATTTCTTCAACAGAAATATAAATTACACGATTTTAAAACCTTTTTATAAAAGACATTTGAAACACTTTAAAAACATATATTTTGGTAATACATACAACAATATATCACTTATATTCTTTGGCAAAAATGAATTATATTTAAATCTCTTAGTGATGTAGTTATCAATAAATAAAAGTCACTCTAATCAAGTCTTGTAAATATGACAATCTATTAGGGGTGTTAAAAATTAATTGATTGAATCATTTAATTTGGTTAATCAATCGAGAATAAATTTTGGTCGGTTATTAAAAATATAATTAAATAGTTTTCTACATTTAATTTAGTTGACTCTTTAACTAATATGATATTTAGAAGATTATTTATCTATCACATATTATCATGTAAATTTAATTATGTTAGAAGTGAATACTACTTTACTTTAAAAATCATAGGTTAATTAGGCTTAATAAGTTAATTGAGTGCATAAATTAATTATTTGTATAAACTAAATAAACAAACTGAATGGCAAAGGCAAAGCATCTTTATATTGAAGAACTTGAATTAAGTTAATTAGGCTTTAAGCCCTCAAGACTGATGAGCCTGTACTCACAGGTGGGCTTTTGGTAGGCATGGACCTTCTTCACAACAAGCAGCCCAACCCAAGTGCAGCACTCCATGATATTCTGATATTGGAGGAGCCTTAGGCCTCGACTATTCTAAAAAACTACCAGTCTTCCCATACAACTTCAGATTGGTAGCTGGTTGACTTGTGACCTTCACCTAATTCAACCGCGGACCACTTTTTTTTTTTGTTTTTTTAATTTCAAATTTCCTAAACTACCATAAGGCCTAACCATTCTTGTGCCCCTGAGCTATCAGGATCCTTTTAGGAGCATCTCCCACCTTTTTTAACATGTAATAAGTGTATAAATATATATATGTATAAAATATTTCTACGAGTATTTTTCTTTTGTTCTATGCAACAAACCTACCCTTTTAGACCAACTCTCTCCAACTTCTTGAAAATCACTAATGCAACCGCAAATGAAGGATTCCCTAAATTGAAATGCAATCTCCATCGACGATTCAACCTTAAACGTAGCACAATCTCCATCCTGCCTGCTACAATGCAGATAACTATAATGAGGCGTTTAGTTTAAGGGAAAATATTTTTTTTTGAAATTTTTTTTTGTAATTTGATTTTTTAATTTGGTTCATAAGAATGTGATTATAAAATTTTTTTAAGATTTTCAACGATATCAAAAAATAAAAAGTAGGAGAATAAAAAACTCTCATCTTTATAAGTATTTTTAAGATTCCAAAGGTAAAGTGAAATTTTGTTTCATTTACCTTTTATTTAATTGCATTTTCAGATTAAATAAATAATATTATCTACCTTATAAACGTAATAATTTTTTATAAAATATTATAAAAATAATTTTTTCTTAATATATTTTAAACAAAGATAACATTTTTAATACAATGCTATTGAAATATTTATAAAAGTTATTATTAAAAATAGAAATTTTATTAAAAAGATGAAAAAATTATTTTTCATAATTCAAAAAATACAATGTTTTTAAAACAAAGAATGTGACTTTACTAAAAATATGGAAAAAATTATTTTTTAAAATTTAACAAAAATGATATTTTTAAGATAAAAAGTACAATCTTTATTAAAAAGATGATATTTTTAAAATAAAATTGTAGTTTTTGTTGTAAACATAAAAAAAAAAAAATTTAAAATTTAACAAAAAGGACATTTCTAAAAGAAAAAATATAATCTTTATTGAAAAGATGATATTTCTAATATAAAAATGAAGTTTTGTTGAAAGCATGCAAAAATATATTTTCTAAAATTCAACAAAGATAACCTTTTAAAGATAGAAAATGGATCTTTATTGAAAATATGAAAAATTATATTTTTTAGAATTTAATAAAAATAATGTTCTAAGATAAAAACATAATCTTTGTTAACAAGATAACGTTTTTAAAATAAAAACACAATTTTTATTGAAAACATGAAATATTTATTTTTCAAAATTCAGTAGAAATGAGGTTTCTAAAATAAAAACTTATTTTTTTTAAAGGACAATTTTTTTAAGATAAAAAATATAATTTTTATTTAAAATACGAAAAAAATAAAGCATAAAATATATTTACTTAATATTGTTATATATAAAATTTAAAATTTGTTTACTTAATATTGTTATACATAACATTTATTCCCTTAGAAACCCCTGAGATGGGGGTTTACCACCACTTTCCAATCCAATGTCGAACCCTCGTGTGGACTTTAACATGAAAGTCAATTCGCATGTTTTCTATACGCATAGTGATAATAACGTTAGATAGTAATTAAAATTATAAGATTATATTTGTTAAAAATATAAAATATTATTTTTTAAAATTATTTAATTTTATAAAAATAATATGTTATTCATGTGTCATTTATTTGTTAATATTATGAATGTTATGTTTTATCAAGAATAATTTAATCAGAGACTTTATTAGATAATCTTATTTTCTTGTGAATCAAATACAAAAATCTTTATTTCCTAATTCAACAAATCTCAAGAATCATATATTCCCTTTTAAGATCATATTTTTTTTAAAAATTTAAGAATGTATGAACCAAATACCCTTAAGAAAAACAAAGAAAAATATAATCTTAAATTCTCTAACGAATTCAGCAGCCACAATGTCATTAACGTATAATAATTGTACCACTATTTATATGTACGCACCAAATAAACAAGGAAAAACTTTGGATTAGTAAAGAGCTGGGAAAGCAATGACTAACCTGAAAACTTTGTGCGATGGGAGAGTCGTCGAAACAGCTTCATGCCTTTCTGGATAGAATGAATGCATTGGGTGAAATAATAATGAAAAATGGAAGAAAAGCATACAAGAAAGGAAGAAGAGATTCTAAAGTTTCCTGTATCGGAGAAGAAAAGAAAGCACCGTTACATTTATATTTACATTAGTGTATACACATGGAATATGCGACTGCAAAGGGACAGCTGTAGGTTTCATGTTGAATAATGGAAGCTTTTTAGCAGTGAGAGGGACAAATATGGCTTTAAAGTTGAACGGTACGTGTGGGATTGAATGGTAGATTTTGAGATTACCGAGTGAGCTGGTTACATGGGGTAGTCAGCGTGGACCAACCAAACGTTCTAACCAGAAACCGAGAAAATGTTAGACAGACCAACCTTTCTTTTGTGCATTTTTATTTTATTTTCATGTTTCTTCAAACTCCACAACTGCCCATCAGAGTTGAAAAGCAAAGCAAATCTAGCAGTCGGGCCCAAACCACTTTTCCGTCTCAACAACCTCATACACAAAAGAGAGTTGATGACACAACATCATTCCAAACCTTGTAGAGGTTTGGGAGGCTTGGAATCTCAGATACTCGTTTATGGGCTGATGCAACTATGAAATGATGGCCCAAATATGTCTTGTCCTTTTAACATGGGGGGTTTTAATAAAAATACACTTACTTTCTTTTCTTTTTTTTTCAATGGAAAATACACTAACTTTCTACTGATTTGAAAAATCCTCTTTATCTCCATGAAGATGGGTAAAAAATACATTAATTTCTTAAATTGTTAATTACTAAAATATCTTTAAATGAAAAAAATAAACATATTCTTTGTTAATTATTAATTATTAATTTTTTTTCTTTCCTTTACTAAAAAATTTTTATTATAAAATTGTAAATATTTAATTAGTTTTAAAATTATTTGTTATGAATATTAAAATTAAAGTTTAATTAAATTTTATTCCTATTCAAGTACATGTTAAGCAGTTTAAACAATTATTATATATTAATTTTAAGATAAATGTATTAAATTATGTTTATTTAAATAAATTAATTATCATCATATACTTAAAAAAATAGTTTAATGGAAACTAATGTACTATAAAAAAATAAAAAGAGAGATTTCATTTTGAAATAAATTCTATTAAAATGAATGAAATCAAATCCGATTAAAAATGTAATCAAAGTGGGAAAAAACTTATGGATGAAATTTATTAAGGGAAATTCATAAAATTTTACTAGAACGATCAAATAAAAATAAAAAATTTAATAGATTTTTATTTTTTAAATAAGTATTTTGAATAAAAATATTGATATAATTTTTATCATAAATAAATATTAATCAAATTTAAATTATAAATAATAATTTTAATAATTTTTTACATACTATTAATATTTAAGTTTAACTTTTTCAATATATTAATTTAAAAATTTTTTTATATTCATTTAAAATAATAATTTTATAAATTTTACTTAAAAAACTTCATTTAAAATTTTCATTTACTTTATATTCAAGAAGCTAATCCGATATGATTTTTACAATATTAGCTCTTCTTTAGGCTTGAGCACTGCTGTGAGCAGGCCGCTTGTAACGACTTTGAAATGCGGATTTCAAAAGCGAAGGTTAATCTCATGAATAAACTGCATTCAAATATTTAATGGGTCATGTGAATTTAAAAAATTTAATTTAATATGTAAATTATAAATTTATTAATTATTATGATATTAAAAAAATAATTATTTATTATTTATTAATATTTAAAATAACAATATAAATAATAAATTTTATATTAATTAATAAATTTATAATTCAATTCAAATAATATATCCCATTTTTAGATTTTTGTATTTGATTTAGAGTAATCTAAGATTATTTAATCATATATTTTTATTATAATGTTCTTCACTATATGATAAATATAACAATACATCAATTATTGCATTAATTTCATTCAAAAAACACAGTATTCAAGTAATCAATTATTAAAAAAAAAGTAATCATCAATTATTGTGTTAATTTCATTAAAAAAATGTAAAAAACTTAATAATTAAATAAATACAATAAATAATTATTACATTTAGTTTCAAAGAATTGCAGTAATTGACAAACTTATAATAAATGTTGATTAAATCAAAAGCTATCAAATCAAATAGATAAAAAAAATTAAATGTCAAATATTATGTTTTTATTAAAAAAAAACACAATAATTACCAACAAAAATAATAAATTGTTATACTTATAATAAATGCTCATTATATCAAAAATCATCAATTCACAAAAAAAAAAACGTCAAATATTACATTTTTATTAAAAAAATGCAATAATTATCATACATATAATCAAAATTTATTAAATAAAAAACTATCATGTCAAACGCATAAAAAAAATTCAAATACTACATTTTTGTTTAGAGAAGTGTAATAATCATTATAATTATAATAAATATTTATTAAATCAAAAGCTATAAAGTGAAACATACAAAAAAATAATTAAATGTCAAATATTATGTTTTTACTCAAATATTACTTCAAAGAAATGTAATAATTATTATACTCATAATAAATGCTCATTAAATAAAAAATCATAAAATCAAATATTATATTTTTGCATTTTTATTAAAAAACACAATAAATAATTACAATTAGTGCATTTTAAAAACTACAAATGCAATATTTGAATAGAAAAATATTAAAAAGAGTATTTAATTGAAAAAATTAAAACAAAAGCAATTCATAATTATTTATTTTTATATATTGATTTTAATGGAAGTAAAATAAAAAAAATATTTTTTATTAACGTGAGATAAAAAAATTTTTTTGAAATCTTAAAATATGACAAGGAAAGAAATTTTTAATTTCAAAATTTTGGATACTATAAAAAATTTAAAATTATTTTTTTAAAATTTGATATCGTCAAATCAAATATGAAATTTTAAATACCTAATAATAATATTCGGACGAAAAATCTCAAATTCCACCGCAAACGCCCCCTTAAATCTTTTAAAATTTTAAAACCGTGCTCAATATTTCAACTAAAATAAATAGTTGGAGGTAGGTAGGCGAAATGGGTGAAAGAAAACAAAGGTGGGAGTCGGTGGTTAAAAACAGTTAGGTGGCTGTGGCTGCTTAAAACAATTTTAGAAATGAAAATTTGTTCGTTGAAATCTGTGGATAAAAGCAAGGAAAACAGGGTAGAGTAGAGTAGAGTATTGAGTGTTGAAGTGAAGGGGGGGAATGGCGACAGCAGAGAACAAACAAGTGGTGCTGAAAAGGTACGTAGAGGGAGCACCGAAAGTGACAGACATGGAAATGAAGATAGGGAAGATAGAGCTGAAGGCTCCCAAAGGCTCGGGTGCTTTTCTAGTCAAGAATCTCTATCTTTCTTGCGACCCATACATGAGAGGTCGGATGCGTAATTTTCATGGTTCTTACATTCCCCCTTTTCTCCCTGCTCAGGTCCCTTCTCTTCTCTTCTCAATTCCACCACTACAATGTGATCATTTTTTATTTATTTTAGTTAATTACTAACTTTGCAGCCATTTTATTTCCTTTTTGATGATAATGATTGAAGCCCATTGAAGGATTTGGAGTGGCAAAAGTGTTGGATTCTGATAATCCAAATTTCAAGCCAGGAGATTTCATTTCAGGAATCACTGGTTGGGAAGAGTACAGCTTGATTCACGACACTTCACAGTTGAGAAAGATTCAACCAGACGATTCTATCCCTCTCTCTTACCATGTGGGACTTCTTGGTATGCTAAAACCTTTTGCTCCTTAATGCATTCTATTCATCATATTGATCAACATAATAATAATGCCCTATCAGGACTTCTTTCTTTCATACAGATTTCAGTGGTTTTAAATCAGCTATAACCTTTTGTCTCATGGTCTAAACTTGACTTGATGATCCAAATGCGCATGATTGAAAACCCCACTTTTGCTTTACAAATCTCTTTACTTTAAACCTCATTTTGATGTGCTTCAAGGTTTTCTTGTCCATGAAGAGGCTATTAGAGCACTCCCTAGATTTTCACACTTTCAATGTGAAATCCCAATCTCATATTGGGATATTGTATGGATATGCAATGGCATATATGTAGAGACTTGAACCCATGCTTAGGAGGTGCCTCTTCTGAGACAAAGTGGTGAAACTTTGAGTCAAAGCAGATTATATCTTTCAGGTTGGGTGCCTGTCTCCATATTTAGGACCTACAGTTCTAGTTACCACCCAAAGAAAATTATGCTAGAAAGAATCTGTGAAAGAGAAAGAACACTTCTATAGCTATGTGTAGAATTGGGAATTAGGATTCAATAACAATCCCATTTTGTTGGTGGTTATATGTATCTTACTTCATAAAGTTCTATTAATGGTTAGATTTATAACTCTACTCAAACATGAATTGATAACCAACAATGTGCAGTAAAGTAGAAGTACTGATGTTCAATATAGGTATGTATCCTATATGAGCTACATCAAATTACTCAGAAGCCTTCCCATTGAGTTAGAGGGTTCAAGATAAAGAGTCATACCTATATGGATTTGAGGTCTCAGAAAACATATAGCATCAATATTTCTGGGTAAGGTGAAAAATCCTTGTAACTTTGGTTTTTGCCTGTGTATTCTATCTAGCTTCTGAATCTCTATTTAACCTAAGATAAGGATATGTTCTCTTCTCTTTGCTTCCAGAAGCTTAAATTTAGAGACTTTGATATTTCTCTTATGACATGGACTAACGTCAGCCAATCATGCGTTAATTACTACACTTCTTTTACACCCGATCAATGCTCATGAACTAAGCTGTTCTGTGAAAAGTATAACCATTTGGGTTGTTAAAAATGATTAGGTTTTCTAAGTGCCGGCATGGCATTTGCAAAAATTTGTACCCAATTTTCTGGTCTTCTTCCCAACCGTCTTTCATTACCACAATAGAGAAACTGGCAATGTCATTTGAGAATCAGGTTAATGTTGTAACCCTTTTAGTGTCTAATTTACTAAGATAGAGCTAACTTGTTTGACCAAAATGCCTATGTACTAACAGGAGATTTTGTTGGAGCAGATAGAATACTAGATCCAGTTATCTGCTTTTGTGCAGATTCTTGCTGGGGCACTATTGTCTCTCTCCTGTTTGAGGATCATCTAAACATCAAAAGTAATGGCTTGCTTATGATATTTTACCCTGTTTGCAGAGAAAGTTGAACTGCTTTCACTTGCTCAACAACAAAGTGCAACATTGGATTACAATTCCTAGACTTATTTATTTATTTATTGGCAACAAAGCACAAGATATTAGTTCAGATTGAAACTGCACTGGGTTCTTCCTTCTTTGACATCATAAACAATCCAGCATATAGCAGACTTCCATATTCTCTATGGTTGCAGTTTTTATGCTTATTTTAGCATCTATGATCTGATCTAGCCGTTAAATGAATGAAAACCTACTTATTTTGGAGTTCAATTTGCATAAGAAAAATGAGCATAGTTATGAATTTTCTGAGGTGATTAGGATAAATTTCTAGTGGAGGTCCGTTGTCTACATTTCTTCCAGCAGGCAGTGCAAATAGAAATTTTAATCTCTGATTGGCCAGCTGGCTCCTGCAAATGTTTCTCTCAAGCAACTTGCAATGAAAAAAGGAAAAAAAAAGAACTGTCAATTGTGCTGAAATCTTAAGTGGCTTGAACATTAGGGTGTATTCATTTTTCCAGATAACAAAAAATTTATTAAATTCCTGATTGGTATAAAACCAGAAAAAACTATGTTTGTGTAGAAATAAAATAAAAAATAAAACCACAAAACTGCTAATTATGATTGTAGAGATTAAGAGAAACAAAACTGACAAAGAAAAAAAAAAACATCATAAGTATTGTGCACAAAGGTTCACAACAGATACTCCATTCTTCTTGAAGGATTGCAGCTTGTGTCTGATATTTGTCCAATCAAGAGTTTTATATTTGTGTAAGCTACATCTGCTGCTTTTGCAGAATCTTGAGTTCCTTTTTCTTTCAAATATGCTTGCTGTTCACAGATAGTACAACGATCATTTGTTGATTGTTATTATGTTAATTTTGTTTTGGTTGACTTGGAGGCATTTTTAGGTGCTTTGTCTACTTATATTCCTATTCATCACAACAGGAAGTGCTAAGTCAAGCTTTTTCTAAGCAGCCTTGAAGTGTGTTAAGAATTCAACTTAGAATCAATTGGCAGTAAGTGGAAAGGTTAAACTTGAATATAAGACTATAGAATAATAGAAATTTATTAGATGTGAGATAGCTCATTTTAACAGGCTCTCATCACATGTAAGTGAAGATAAAAGAAGCTTTTCATGTGACAAATTAGGAAAAGATAATGAAAAGAAATCTTACCTCTGATAACATGTTAAGCATCTAATTTAAAATCAATTGGTAGTAAGTGGAGAGATGCAACTTGAATATAAAATTATAGGATATTGGAAACTTATTAGATATGGGATAGCCCACTTTAACAAAGTGAACAAAGGGGATTATTTTTTGACCAGTAACTCTGTTCAAGTCAAGAAGATGTTGTTTGCTTGCTTGTCTAGTAGTCCAAACCAACAAATTAGATAATAGAATCTTGTTCATGTTGCCTGGAACTTATGTCTTGCAAACCAAGTAGCTCATTTTGTGACATGGCATTTGTTTCATTTTTTCTTATGTTTAAGTTCATTGCTGATTTAGATGTTTTATGCAGGTATGCCAGGTTTTACTGCTTATGTAGGATTTTACGAAATCTGTAGCCCAGAAAAAGGAGAACATGTTTTTGTATCTGCAGCTTCGGGAGCTGTTGGCCAGCTTGTTGGACAACTTGCCAAGTTACATGGCTGCTACGTAGTTGGAAGTGCTGGAAGTAGCCAAAAGGTAAGTTTCTTGTACAAAATTAAACAAATTCTCATTCATTAAAAATTGAACTCTCACTTCCAAGAAAACAACTGAACTCTGATGTCCAGTGATAATGCGAGAACTGATGCAAGAAAATAATGAATTTGGCATATAGGTCGATCTTCTAAAGAACAAGCTTGGATTTGATGAAGCTTTTAACTACAAAGAGGAGGCAGACCTAGATGCTGCTTTGAAAAGGTGAGTAATCAGGTTTTCCGAATAAAATTTTCCCAAAGAACTTACTTTGCTATGAACGTCGATGAAAGATATATAAGATATAACCTTTTTGATTTATTCCAGACTTTGATTGAAACATCTTTACCAGAAATTATATTAAGCACTAGCTTATTGTTTCTTCACTGGAAGCTGCTCATATTTTGGGGAACCTCATGTGCATGTTCCTAGGGATAAGGTGGCAAATGGGTGTGTTTGAACAGGTCGGGGATTGTCCTTAGGTCCCTCCCCAACCATCCTCTAACCCCACCCACAAAAGAAAAAAAGGAAAGGAAAGAAAAAACCCAAATGAAAATTGCGCTTTAAATAAGTAGCTTTATTTAAAATTTCGAAACTTTGATAGATGTATGAAAGTTTTACTGTTTCTAATTTTTCAGACAACTGTACAAAGTACAACTATATGAAATTGTTTTTTGTACATTTTTTAATTGTTTGAAAACCCTTTTTTTCCAATTTTTTAAATTTGGTTACTCACGTTACTTCATTGATCATATTAGAGTAAAGGTGAAGGTGGAACATTGGAAAACATTTTGCAAAATTGAACAGGCCCTCAAATTTAGCAAAATCTGTCAGTGATATTCCTTCGTTGAACCAAATTAAAAATGATACACCTTAATTGAAACAATGCATCATCTTTTTCATTGGCTGTTTTACTGATACTCAATTTTCAAATTTGTGATTTTAGGCTGATTTATCTTACAAAATGGCTCACCTTTGGCTATTTGTAGTCCGAATTTTTTCCCTCTTCCCCAACGGATGCATAAAAAGGAAAAACAGATTAAAAAGGGGCTCTACATAAGTTTGAAGGACTAAAGATTTCCATCCTCAAGAAGTTTGGCAGACACTCAAAAGCATAACAAATCTACACATCATAAAATCAACTTTTATCTTAAGTTTTTCTTCCTTTTGAGCTTATAATTTGATGCATTTGAATAACAGTAAATTCTAATATGAATATCACACTACATTTGTGCTGCATCACCTGTTTAGCGGGTGAAGTTAGTTTCAAATTCCTCATAATTGATAACCAAAGCTCTAAACAGGTACTTCCCACAAGGCATTGATATCTACTTTGACAATGTGGGCGGGGACATGTTGGATGCAGCTTTGCTCAACATGCGGGATCATGGTCGTATAGCTGTTTGTGGAATGGTGTCACTACACAGTTTCTCTGATCCAAACGGGATCCACAATTTGTTTTGTCTTGTACCAAAGCGCATCAAGATGCAAGGATTCTTGCAAAGCGATTACTTGCATAAGTTCCCATTGTTTTTGGAACATGTCACTGAGAATTACAAACAGGGGAAGATTGTGTATATTGAAGATATGAATGAAGGTCTAGAAAATGCTCCAGCTGCTTTTGTTGGACTGTTTTCTGGAAAAAATATTGGCAAGCAGGTCATATGTGTAGCCCGAGAGTGAGTGTTGCTTAAGAGGTTGCATTGATTTAGGGATGGACGACCCTCGTTTTAGCAGCTACAATGGTTCTTTCTTTTATTCAACTTTGTATGTTTCATTTGTGCGTGCAAGGTAACTTTCTTTTCTTTTTTTTTGTTCAAGATGGAAAAAATAATGTAGGGATAATGCTCAAACCTTACCACTTTATTAAATTGTTTTTGGTTCAACAGAGACGGATACTTTCAAGGGCTAGGGAGTGGCTATGGCCCCCCAAACTTTGAAAACCCTCATATTATAATTTTTTATATCAAATTAAAAATTAGGGATTTAAGTTCACCTTCAAACCCAAATTTGGGCTTTATTTATTTATTTATTTTTGGGTAAACTCTAAAAATATATGTTGTGGTTAAAAATGAGATAAAAATATCTCTTGAGATTTAAAACGTAACATACAATCACCTTGTGTTATTATTTTGTTATCACTTATTGAATGTCGTTAGAAGGTAAATGGTCAAATTATCATGTGAATAATGCAAGCCACGAACAAGAATAAAAGCAGTAGAATAGTTAACAAAAAATTGAACAAAACCTTTTTCAATTAATTTGATTTTCATAGAAATTTTTTTTTACAACAATCAATTTTCAAAATTATTCGATTATTATAATGTAAAAGTGTTTGGGTTAGTGATTGAAATCAAGATTTAAGTTGGATTTTACATTATATTGATCAAAAGGTAGCGATGAAATGAAATTTGAGCATGGTTTTGAGATGTTTCGTTGGATTCACACAATCAAATAAGGTATGTATAATTTTTTTTTTTAGTTTAGATGCAATTGATTTTAGGTTAATATTAAGGTTAGCAAGTTTTATTAAAAACATTTGGGGATTTTTATACTTAACATCATATAAGAATCAATTTAGGGTTTTTAAAATTTTGAAATGTTATTAAATTTATATCAAAATCAATTTTTTGTACTTAACTTCATATTAGAACCAATCGTATTTTCACTAAACAATTAAAATTTCATGTTGCTATAAATGTGAAATGCCAACAAAACTATTAAGTTTTATCATGGTGGGTCATTTATGCATATTTCTAACAAAGTTTGGCAAGAGGTGATGTAGTATGGGTGGATAATTATCTTTTAGATAGGTTGTCATTTTTTCAGTTGCAAGATTGGGTTATTAAATTGGGGTACGAGAGTATCAGTGACCTGTTTTATTGTATTCTTGGGCTATCATTTGATGAAGGGTTGAAAAGAACCATTATAATATTGTTGTAGTAGGTGAGCCTCCTCTTCCGTTATTTATATATGTATATCCTCTGGGAATGAAAAAAAGATACAAATAGGAAGGTTTACTAAAGAATTTGTAGCTGAAGATAATACTGTTATTTTGACCAAAAACAATGGTGGAAATAAGGTACATAATGGTACTACTAATTTGGTAAAAAACATTAATGCTAATGAGGTTGATGATAGTACTTATAATTTGACAAAAAATAATGATGCAAATGAGGTTAATGATGGTACTACCAATTTGGCAAAAGATAATGGTGCAAATGAGGCTAAAAATGATGCTCAAAATGTTAGTGAAGATGCTGAAATGATGAAGAGAAAAATAGAAAAGACAGTGATGATGATGGTAGTGACTATCATGCAAGCAATGAATATGACAGTGATGGTTATTTTAGTAGTGATCCTAGCTACTTTGATGAAGGATTTGTAGAGGTTAATGATATATTTGATGATAATGAAGTTGGTGGTCCTAAGAAAAGAAAAAGGCCTATCTTTAACATGTTAGAATGGATAAGGAAAAGATTAATGAAAAGGTTTCATTTCAAAAGTCTTATAATGGCCTTATATGTCCAGATATTCAAAACAAGCTTGAATAGATTAAAAAAGACTTTTTTAATTACTTTTCTATTCATGTTGGTAGGCCTATATATGAAATTAAATGTGGTACAACCTTTTATGTTGTGGACTTGATTGAATAGAGTTATACTTCCAGGGTTTGGGATTTGATTGGAATGCTCTGTAAACATGTTGTTTCTTTTATTTACAGTAATAGAAAGAGACTAGAATCCTTTTTCCATTTTTGTTATTCTAAAAAGATATACATGGCTATATATGATGTCATTATTAATCATATTCCAGGATAGACCACTAGGAAGACTAATAAAGTTGAGAAAAAAAGCACTTGATTAACCACAAAATCATTACAAAATGTCACGAAAGAATAAGCCAATTAGATATGGCAACTGTGGTCAAGTTGAACATAATATTAGATATTACAAGGTATCAGTGATGGGAGAGACTCCATGACAAAGTAGGATGATGTTAAAAATATTAAACAAAGTTCCTCTTCAATCTACCAATCCTCAGGTAATTAGCTTCTTTAAATTAAATGGACTTCATATATTACATTTAACATGAATGTGGTGTATTTGATAGGTTTCTCAAAGGATATATGGTGTATCTTCTTTAAGAACAAATATTGGTATAACTAGAGGGTAGATCTAAAGGAAGACTTGTCATTAATGCTACTATTGAAATTAAGTTATAGTCAAGTACTGTTACAGAAATGACTACTAGCAGAAGTTCAAGAGAAAAAGCAGCTGGTATTGGTTGTGAATTTGCTGGAAATGTTAGACAAAAAAATGCTGAAAATATTGACAGATAAAGAGATGATGTTGAAAATATTGGCAAAGAAAAATGTGATGTTAGGGCCAAAATTACTCTAATAAGAAGAAATGGTAAGACTAGTGCCTCAATCTATGTTGGTGGTTAAGTTGCTAATTCTCCAGTATCTAACAATATAAATGTTAGCAGTTAAATAACCGATAACCTAACAGTTGGCAGCCAAACAACTAGTAGCCAAGGTATTTTGATACAATCTGAAAAAGGCTCATATATGCTATTTTAGGCTGATGCATTGAATATATGCTATTTTACTTGTTTGTCTCATAAATTGATGTGATGCATAAGCCTTTTATTTTGATGTATAGGTTTGTGTGATATATAGGCCTTTTATTGTGCATTTTGTGCTAGTCGTATAAACTGGTGGCCTGTTTTTGTTTAATAAGAATGATGAACTAGCAGATGACCTTATTTTCTTTAATAAAATGACCTTGTTTTGTTTAATAAGAATGCTAGCTTTCTGCAAGCTGTATTTTGGATTATATTTCTATAAATGGATATGGTAGTTTTTACAATTCTGTTCTTAAAAACTTTTAAGAACTTACCAACTTGGTTGAAAGTAGTATAATGCCAATTTGTAGGATAAGAAATTTAGTAAGAAATGCCATTGCACAACACGTTTAACAAAAGATAAACTTTTATTTAATAGCTACATAATAAGTTCACATATACATTTCATCAAACACTTTGTATTGCTACACACTACACCTTAATAAACATTTCAATCTTGCATACAACTAAACTATACCTTAATAAACATTTCAATCTTGCATACAACTAAATCAAACCCTACATCTAACCTATAACAAACTCAGAATAAACAAATAACACCAATTCATCAACTAAAAAAAAACTAGGTCTTTAAGTTTTTCTACCTAAAGTATCATACAAAATCAAAATCAACAACACCATAACACTACCACAAACTAAATAATTACTCTTTTCTTGCATCGAATCTGAACTAGTTGATGCTTCAATTGTAAGTTTCTTGCATGAGATTAAATTAGTTCATTTTCTAAATTTTTTGCTCCTTATTTTGAGCTTAAACAAATTCTTCGTTCAATTTCAACTTCATCTTTTCTAATTCGATTAGTTGTTGTTGCAAATGCAAATCTCTTGCTAAGCATATTATCAACACTTCAACTAATTCTTGTTTCCTTGTATTTGATCTTGAAATATCATTTGTCATTGTTGTCATTGATTTTTTTTTTTAATTTCAACATCTCTTTCCTACAACTTTCACATGAAATCTCATTAACTCACTGAAAAAATTTATATTTTCATACTCACTATAAATGCAAAAACCCAAAGATTAAACAATTTTTCTACTTAAAAGCTATACAACAATTATTAAAAGCTATACAACAATTTACAAAATCTTACCTCAAAATTGTCACAACCATAAAATTTTTTACCATGGTTACCACTTATTTCAAAAGTTTTTATTGGTAATTCTATACCACAATAACATAATTTGGCACCATTTTATCCTTCACTTTCAGTAGATTATTGAGAATCCATGTAGACAAGTTCACTTAATTTTTCAAAGTAATGTGGTAGGAACTAGGAAGAGACAAAAATGGGGAAAATGAAAATGGATATAAATGAGATGAGAAGAGAAAAAATGAAAGAAATGAATGTTAATCATGGAAGAATATGGGGACTTGCTGTAATTATTTTTCAAATGGCATTTAATAAGTGATAATGGAATAATAACATATAATGTTATATGTCACGTTTTAAATCTCAAAGGACATTTTTACTATACCTTTAAACACATGATATATTTTTAATTTTAGCTCACACATCTTGTTTTTTGCATGTTAGAATTGAGAGTGAAAGTGATTAAAATCATGATTATTTCTTTGTGAGATTTTTTTCATTTATCATCAATCATAGTTCTTGAAAATAATAAGTTGGTCATAAACAAGTATAATATTACAAGCACGTATATTTAACAAAATCAAATTAATTTTTTAATTTTTCTCAAAATTACTATTAAAGTGATAATAAAATGAATTTTCATGGAAGTTAAATTTGGTTATTTTAAGGACAGCTTATTTGATACTTAAAATAGTGAACGAGCCTTGGAATTGATGAACAAATTGGAAAATTGGACCAAATAGGATGAATAAATCTCAATTGACACTAACAAGTGTCGATCTAGCTAGCTAAATGCCAAAATTTTAGAAAATTATCCTTTTTTTTTCATTGGTTTTGAAATTCCTTAAGGTCTTGATTAACAATGCATTGTATCCATAAAAAATGTGGCAAATTTTGATCTTGCTATTGTTAATCGGGGAATGAAAGTAATTCAATCAATCCTTCCAAGGGTCGATAGATTGAAACATCAAAATTTGAAAAATAAGAGTTGTGTCAATACTTTTTAGTGCTGGTCAATACTCACGGGTTATTTTCAAAATTATCTATTTATTTTTTAATTATCTTGCTTGTTTATAATTTTTAAAATTATTTTTTAATAAATATTTGGATTTTTATCCAATTTGAGCCATTTATTAACTTTTATTTTGATTATTCATTTCATTTCATTTTCACAATATAAAATGTTAGAAATATTTTCAAAATATGAAAATTATGGTTAAATATAAATACTTATCA